TTGGATTGCAGGCTCAAGATCTTTATCTTTAAGGAATCCTCCAAGTCCAGTTTTTACTGTGCATCATTTGTATTTTGCCAATGATCTAGGTGATGTCGATTTGAAAATTCAAGCAGTTGTCTCGGATTACTGGTCATTGGCGCATCAATTAGCCTGGAGAGATGACATTAATTTTATATTACGCCGTGCTGCCAAATAACGAAGGTCGCGTGCGAAAGAAATTAAAGCTGCTTCGTTTGAATTATGTAAGATTTCCAGAGATAGATAGTATTGTTGCCAATTCTTTAAATATTACCAAAATATTGCCAATCTTTTCTAAATTGTTACAAAGTATGTTGCACCGATTTGATTGAGTTGTATTCTTTCGTTAAATTAAATAGATTGTAAAGAAAAAATAAATTTTATTCTTTTAAAAAAAATAAAAGTGAGAGTGAAAATTGAAAATGAAATCTAAAAATTTATTTATATTGATCGTTTTAGTTATATTTACACAGTGTGTTTTTGCTACCGAAGTAATAAGCTTGGCTTCTAGTAATTTTACTGAATCTATTTCTGAGGGAACATGGTCAGCATATCTATAATGATTATTTGATCGTTGTTTTTTTATTCTTTCAATATTTTGCATTTTTTAACTTTGTTTTTTGATCTTATCTAAAAAAAGGTTTATAAAGTTTTTTGTGCCATGGTGTCCTCATTGTCAAAAACTTGGTAAGACGATACATTATATCAGAAAAAAAAAAATTTTTAAAAATACATTTTTTCAACTCTCTAAAAATTTTTTATAAAAATTTATTTTGTAAGCTCCAACATGGACAAAAGTTTGGGAGGAAAATGAAAGTTATTTAATATCAAAAAATCTTCATATGGCTAAAGTGGATTGTACACTTGATGGAGGTAATAGTAATTGATATTATGATTTTCAACTTGACAAATATATGTATATATTAAACATTTATTTGATGAATATATTTTTAGATCTTTGTAATAAAAACGATGTAAAAGGATATCCAACTTTACATGTGTAAGATCTTTTAAAATTACTATTGAAACATTGTTAAAACTATCATCATTGTTATTATCATTTCAAAGCTTCAACATATTTACTACATATTTTGTTCAAAAATAGATTTAATCAAGGAAAGTTTGTAGAAACATATGATAGTTTACGCGATTTTGATTCATTAACAAGTTTTGTTAAAAAAATGGCACAAGAATATTATATATTAAGCGATGATCAAGATGATGATTCAGTGTTGAGTGATAGTAATAATAACGAATCTGCTATCAAACCAAATCCTTTGGGACAAGTAGTAACTCTTAATGGCAAAAATTTTGATAAGTTGATAAGTTCTGGTACTTGGTTTATAAAATATTATGCTCCTTGGTGTGGGCATTGTCAAAAATTAGCACCAACTTGGGAAGAATTAGGTCGTAAATTACAAAATAAGATGAATATTGGTAAAGTTGATTGTACTACTAATGGAGGTAACTTTAATTGTTATTATTATTATTATTTTCATTCTTATATTTGTAAATTGTTGTTTTTTATTTAAAAATTTTTTTTTTAGATCTTTGTGCTAGATTTAAAGTTAAAGGTTATCCAACATTAAAATTGTATCCTTTTAATTTCCCCAAAAAAAATCAAAATATTTTAATAACTTTTAATGCAGTTAATAGTAACAATATGATTATCTTTAGCTTTATTACTATTGGAAACTATGTAATATATATAAATACTATAAAACAGAGTCCAAGGGCCTGATGATGTTACTGATTATAAAGGTTCAAGAGAATTAATTAGTCTTCAAGATTTTGCTGAAAGTGCTGCTAAAGCTCGAATTTTCGAAATTAATTTAAAGGATTTTGAAAGGGCTAAAAAAATGGACGATGTATTATTCTTATTCCTTTATAATGAAACAACCCCAGTTAAAGTTTGGGTAACTATATATTAATAAGATTATGATGGTGGTGGTTATTATTATTATTGTATTAATTAGCATATATATATTATTTTATAATAGCCAATTGTCAAAGAGTTATCACGCTCTTTTTTCACGGTGAAATTTTATTCTAGTTCAGATTCCAATCTAATAGCACAACTAGATGTTGACAGTTTACCATCATTATTAGTGATAAAAGATGATTTTAAAAAAATATATCCAAATAATTCAATAGAAGCATACACGGATCGACAGTCACTTAAAGCTTGGATACAATCAGAAAAATATCCATTGGTACCGGCAATGGATTTTGAAAATTACGAAGATATTTTGGGTGGTGAACGATTGGTTGTTTTAGGAGTTCTTAGACCACTTGATGGTAAAACATTTATTAAAACAAAAAACGACTTGAAAGACATTGCAAAACTTTATTATAAACAAATTAAACAAAAAGGAGGATCAGAAGATGGCAGAGCTGTTATTTTTGCATGGATAGATGGGAAAAGATGGTCTGATTATATTTATGGTGTTTATGGATTGACTAATAACGATTTACCTACTATTTTAATTGCTGATCCTGTGGTGATTATTGTTATTATTATAATGCAAAAGATTTTTTTAATATTAATTATATTGATTTTTTTTTTCACACTCTCAAAACAATTAATTATAAAGACGAATGAATTTTTTGATACAACAAGAACGGGAGAAAAAATTTCATTGGCAGATCAAGAGAAATTACTTGCATCTATTCATGATGCCAAGACAGGATATTTGGCTGGAAAAAGTACAATTGGGTTTGTTGAAAAAACATTTAGAGTATGTATTCTTTATTATCAATTGTTTGTTATTTATTTATTTTAATTGTTTATTAAATTTATTCTTTTTTTATTTATCTATAGGATATATTTTCATTGGGAGCTATTATTCAGGTAATAAATATATTTACTTTATTGATCTTATGATTATAATAATACTTACTATCAGTGTTAACCAATTAATTAAATTAATTATGTTAATATGATACACATACAGAATTCAGTAATTAAACATCCATTCATTACATTGATAATATTTTTATTGGCGGCTGGTGGTGTATATAGATATTGTTTCAAACCACAAATAAGAGAGGTTAAAGATTTTGAAAGAGGATATGAAAAATTTGAATAAAATCATTAATAATAATAAAATTTCTTGATTTTTGGATTACAATATTTTTTAGAAGTATATTAATATTTATAATATATAATAATAACATTAACATTAATATAATAAAAATAACAGATTTATATATTATCAATCTATACATACACATTGTATTTATTATTAATACCAATGAATTATAATTTATCGATTTGTTTTTCTAACTCTATCCATTCTTCAGTACTTAATGTATCTTCACCGTATTTCCTTTTAATTTCAGGTAAAACTTCTTTTAATTCTTTGATTCCTTCTTGACTAATCAATTTTGAAGAATATAAAAATTCAGCGAGTAATACCTTCAAGATCTAAATTAATCGTAATAATCATAGCATTATTTTTAGTATCAATAATATCAAAAATATCACATAATATTTATATTACCTTCTCAGCTAAATCTCCATCCTTTTCTCCAAAAGTTTTCAACAATTTAATCATTTGTTTTGCCAAACCTTTTTCTTCTATTCTGTTAGCAACAACTGTTGGTTCTTGAAGTAATAAGTTATTAAATAAAAACACTGTTTTTCTTAATATTTGAAGATCTAAAAAAGAGGTTAACTTTCATTAGAAATATTCATTTGAATTTTATATAACGAAATAAACCCTTACTATCAGATGATTTTAATAAAAATAATAAAGTATCGTATCCGTTATATTTATCAAATTGTTCTAATCCTGATTTAAAGTGTTTGATTGCTCCTATCACCAAAAAAATTATCAATAAATTATATATAATTTTTTGAGCTTTTAATAAAATATATATTAAAATTAAATTACCTGATATAGCATATAAAGCTTTACTTTTTACTTCCAAATCTTCATCAAGATTATTTAAAATATCCAAAATAACTTTAATTCCACCATGCTCTGCAAACTATATATTAATTTTATATGTATTAATTAACAAAGGTTTTTTTAAATGGTCAAGGAAATTCAAAAAAATTACTTACAGCCTTTTGAGCTTTGGGATTATTTTGTACAGCAGTTCCACATACCCAAACTGCAAGAATTCTAAGTGGAACTTCAGGAAGTGAAAGAAACGAAATTAACTTTGGCCATAAATTCATATTTTCTATATCTATTTTGAAGTTAATAAATACATATATATGGTCTTTCTTATCTTTCTTAAATTATTATTATTATTATTATTATTATTATTATTATTATTTATATCCTTACTAACTGCGTTATCAATTTGTTCTACAAGCTTTAATTAGAACAATAAATAAATACAAAATAAACAAATATGATAGAAAATTTATTCAATATTTAATTTTGAATCAAAATACCATTTCTAAATTATCAAACGCGATCTTTCTATTCTCAATAGTTTCTTCAGTATTAGATATTACTTCAATTGCCTCTGTGTACGTGTGTATAGATACATGTGACATAACAGTATTCATTTAATTGATGTTGTTGATGATGATGTTTAATATAAAATATATACCTTTCATATAAACAGCATCGCTTTTACCCAAAATATAATCAATTATTTCAGGATCCTTTAAGATATATATAATTATTTAATAATAATAAAATAATTGATAATTAACAGATCAATTAATAATAAATAATTTCATCAACTTTACTATTTGACTTCTTTTTTCTTCTGGTGATTGTTGTTGTGATGATTTATTTGAAGTGTCGGTGTTTTCTATTGACCATTTTAAAAGTTTCTCCATTTTTATTTTTATTTTTATTTTTTATTTTTTATTTTTTTTTATTTATCCCATCCAACAATTCTTTTTATGTTATTTTTATTATGATCTAGAATTGACTAGAAACATAAAGATAAAATTTCGAAAATCTTTCTAAAATAGGTTGACGATTTACGATCATTAACTAAGCTAAATTTAAAAAATCTTTTTTTTTTTTTTATTATATCTTTTCAAATCAATTATATATAGTCTTTGCAGAAATGGTAAAATTTGATCATATTTGATTTTTTGTTTTCGAAGTATATTTCTTATTCAAAAATTTATTTATTTCTCTATACATAGGGTAAAGTTCACGGATCTCTTGCTCGTGCTGGTAAAGTCAAATCGCAATCACCAAAAGTTGAAAAACAAGAAAAAAAGAAAAAGAAAACTGGTAGAGCTAAAAAAAGAATTTTGTATAATCGTAGATTTGTTAATATAACCAGTTTTGGTGGCAAAAGAAGAGTGAGTTTTTTTTATAATGATGATGAATAATAATCATATAAAAGTAGAAATTAATTTTCTTCTCTTCTCATTTCCCATTTCCCAAATAGATGAATCCTGCTCCAACAACGGATAAACCTTAATTTTTGTTTTATTTAAAATATAAAATATATAATAATGGAATTTAATTAAATATGTTATTAAAACAAAAAAAAAATTTTTCATAATTTATTCTTTTATAAAAATAATAATAGTATAATGCAAGTGGTTACTATTATTGTTAATAAAAATGTTTAATTTTACAAATCTATTTGGTTTTTCTTTACAGACACTAAATACAAAAAAATATTATATAATCTTCCCAAAAAACAACATTACATACACACTATATATGTATAAAGAATATTATTAATTGATTAATACAACAAAACTATGATTTTTCTAATATTTTACAATTTATAATATTCATGACATTGTATATATAACAATATCATTTAATGATATCAACGATCAATAACAATAATTTAATAAAAAAAATTTATTGAAAATATCAAGAGGAAGCAGCTATATAAAAAAATTTAAGAAGAAAAATAAGAAAAATGCACAAGTAATTTTTAAAAAAATGAAATAAAAAAACACTTACTGTAGAAATAAACATTTTCCCATATAGGTTGATAATCTCTTAAAATACCACCAAATAATGATAGGATTGGTTTATTACCAACAGACTGACAAATTTTATCAATTTTTGGTCTAAATTTCATTCAATATATTAAATAAATAAATAAATATAATGTAATGTAATGTAACGTAATATAATATAGTGTAATATATAAAATAGACAACCTTGTAATTTTTTCGTAGAAAGGTCCTCTTAAAATATACAAAAATAATTGTTTTATTCTTCTTTTTTCTTCATCCTTTTCTACACTTGTTAATCGATGAGATCCGTCTGAGATTTTTTTATGAAAATAATTAGTAAGAATTCTAGTATATACTTCTATGATTATGGACAACAGCCAAGGTTTCCATGATTTATTTCCATATTTTCGAAGAGTAAGAACTATTGTTATTATTTTGTAAAAAAAAATAAAAAATATAAAGGTGAGAATTAATATAACAATAGAAAAATATCAAACGAAAGAAAAAATACATATATTTACCATATATTAATGGTCTAATAATGTATAACAATTCACTAATAATTCCTAAACCATATAGTTTATGTACCAATTCTGGTGGTTTCTCAACATCTTCAATTAATAAGACTTTATTCATCAAATAATTGTTTATGTCGGAAGTATGCGAATATCTATTGTTATGAAAAACAGTTGAAATACTATCATATCTATGATTAGTGTTTCTTCCAACCCAACTCTCTGATTCTTTTGATTCAATACAATTAAAATCATTAGTAGATTTCTCGGTTGGAAAATAAGATGGTGATGCGTAATTATTATTGTTGTTTTTAGCTTCTTCTGGATTGAAAATGTGAGGATCGATTTCTCTTCCAGGTATTTGTGGATATACTACTGCACGACCATGAGTTTTGTATAATAATATAATTCTACAAACCATTCTAATTGAAGAAATAATATATATAATTGATTAATTGTTATTAATATTATTATTAGGAAAGCAAAATACATTACATATCTATCCACATATGTATTTATTTTGTTATCGTACTTCATTAATTCAATTGTACCAATATATTTCCATTTAACTTCTTTGCCCAACTTCTTTTGTATTCCCATTTCCAATAATACTTCAGTATTTTGTAATAATGTTAAAGCAAATGAAGAGTATTGGTATGTTTTTGAAGAATCTAACCAATATTTCGTGTATCTATTGTGTGGTGATGGTTTAGGTTTTTTGTAAGGTGGTAATTTCTCCAATGCCCTAACCAATATTGAATCATGATACAATCCAATTAAACTTAAAGCTGAAAATACTATAAGTATTTTATTTTTGATCGAATTAATAATAATTAGTAATGTAATGAATGATAAGAATAAAATAATAAAATTCAAGATATTTTGTTTCTATCTTCTCATTTATAACATACATGCTTCCGAAGCAAATTCAGCATCAGCAAATCGACCTTTATATTCATTATTATTTAACAATCAATATATCAATAAATATTATTCAATTAATTGATCAAACATCATAAGAAAATAATAAATAATGCAGAGTGAAAAGTTTTTTGTAAAAATTATTTTATTACCAGGTAAAACATAAGTTAAAGTTTTTAAAGAACTTTCAATTGAGCTTATTTGTGATGCATTAGTTAAAATGAAATTTTCATATTTTTTTAAAAGATTCATACTATTTGAAAAAATTTTAATTTTATTATTATCACACAAGATCTTCCTCCGCCCTGATTCAATTATCATTAATCTTTGACCATCATCCTCATTTTGACATTGATCTTCAAAATTTAGAAGACGCGATCTTAATTTGTGGGTCTCTCTCTAATCAGAATGTTTGAATAATAATAATAATAATAAGCTCGAAATTACAAGGTCTATACTAATATAAAAACACTCTAACTTGGTAGATTATGCAAATTATGCACCACCTTTTAAAAAATCATTTTTATAAAAAACAAAAAATTTAAATCGATATTATTTGTTATAAAATAAAACATTAAGAGAAAAAAATAATCATGTTTATGCTGATCAGATACAGATGAAATTCATCAAAGGAGATTTCTACAAAAACAATTCGTGGCCCAGATTAAATTTCGGCAGAAAGTATCAAGGGTTTATTTTCCAACTATCCTGTTTCTTTCAAAATCGGTTCCTTATAAGTTTCATTTCTGCATGGGTCTTAGTATTTTATCATTACGCGGGTAATGCAATTTTTTGGTATTGCAAGGGAAGGATTAAATAATAACAAAAAGATAAGTAATGTTGATTCAATCAAGAGAAAAATGCATGATAATTTTAATTTATATCTTGTACAAGTTAATTGCCATTGTTAAAATTTGACTTGATTAACTTTTTTTCAACTTATTTATTTACGATTACATCATTTATTTTTTCTTAAAGCAATTATAGAAAAAATATATAATACCTTTATATTATTATTATACAAGTTTGATTCACCTTTATCGTTACGTTTATTCAAATAACCCTATAAAACATATTTGTTTTTACTGCTAATTCATGAACAAAAATTAATATTACCATTCCTTCACCATTATAAATTTAATAACAATAACAGCAATAGCTATATTTCATCAACATCATCAATCAAAACATATTCAAGTCCAAGCTACATTGCTAGTACCGGTAATAAATCCACCAGCCATACTACTACCAAATACATAAGTAGCAAATTCTAAAACTATAGATGGCAAAATACTAACTGTATAAACTCATAGAATCTCGAAACGATTTTCTAACAATTGCCATTGAGCAATTTTTGCCAATGATCTAGGTGATGTCGATTTGAAAATTCAAGCAGTTGTCTCGGATTACTGGTCATTGGCGCATCAATTAGCCTGGAGAGATGACATTAATTTTATATTACGCCGTGCTGCCAAATAACGAAGGTCGCGTGCGAAAGAAATTAAAGCTGCTTCGTTTGAATTATGTAAGATCATTTTGAGGTATTACTCATTGATTTATTTTGTGTAATATTTTCACGATCAAAAAATTTCTTATTTGCAATTTGACCTCTTCCTCTACCAAATTTTTTATACTTGCCAACGTACCTATAACGTTAATTTCAAAATGCCCTAATACTAATAACAATTGTATATAAAGATATTTGGGTATTGTAATGGTGAAAGGAACATTTAAAATCGAAAGAAAATTTTCCCAAACACAATACTCGATACATGTGCCAGCCCGGGCTATTTATTAATTTTAACGAATTTAACGAAAGAATACAACTCAATCAAATCAGTGCAACATACTTTGTAACAATTTAGAAAAGATTGGTAATATTTAGAAAGAATTGGCAACGATACTGGAAATTTTTCGAAAGAAAAGGAAAATTTTCGTTTCACAAAATTGATTGCGTTGTATCATGATATTTTTTGATCATTGATCATTGATCACTCTCCCAT